AATGGGTAACTGTTCTCTTGGCAGCGTTGCAGATGGGTGAGACCACGCCGTCGCTGCTTTTTCTCCACTCAAAAAGCCCGTCGGTTGCCTGGTCGTGAAAAAAAAAAGAGAAGTGAATGGGTTTGTATGACTTGTTCCTCAAGGATTAATTCGGGCTGGTATTCCTCCCCTTGCTGCCAGACACAGATCTCCTGGGGTACATGCAAAGCTGTTCGTCCCAGATTCAAACTGGCCAAAGATGGGTACCCATCCCAATGGAGACAGCAAAAAAGAACATGACTAAAACTCTGCCCAAACTTTCACATCTGTCTCTGGCCTGACGGGAGTCAATACCTAGTTGGTATTTTTCTTGAGTTCTTGGGGCTTTCTGCTTTGTTTTCTTGAGAGAGTGGGATATGTTTTCCCCCCTAACCTTGTTCTGAAAACTAGAGTGATAATTGAATTTTAACATCATCAGTTTCCCGCATCGTTACACAGGAAAATATCTTAAGTTGTAGCTAGGGTTAATAACTAAAACAACGTTAACTATTTTTATCTCAGAGCATTCATAAAGATTTGCACTGAACTAGAACTTCATGTTAATTTACATTTGCTGCTACTGTGGTGTGAGCTGGGGGAAAGGAGGATTTTAAAGTGCCTTGGACAATTAACTGAGTTACGGCCTTTGGAAGAGCAAATGCTCGTAATAAAATTTACTACAGCGAATTTGCAAGTTTGGTTTGAGGGGCTTTGGGCTGCTGCTAAGCTATGACTTACAATGTGTAAAAGCAGTGAGACCCGCATAGGGAGAGCCCAGCAGCAGCGCTACTTCTGGGTTCCTGCCTCTCGCTTCCAGCTGCGCAGTGTCCTCGCCTCTGTGGTGCCAATGGCAATTTTTAAGGCCACAATGCGAAGAAGTGAAGGAAAAAAGTACCTCATTTTAGTATTTTCATAAATGCATATGCTTTGTAAATCACCTCATCTCTTTCAAGGTTGAGAGAACAGACCGTGTGTTAGTCCCAAAGACTGTTCGAGGCACCTGACAGCTCAGCGAAGCAGAGGCTCAGTTGCTCAGGGATGAATTCTTCATCAGACCTCCACATGTCTCCCTATCTACTGATAGCACTTTAATTCAGATCGAGACCACCTGCTTACAGCCAAGCTACTAATGGTGTAGGAGTAACAGAGCAGCAACCCTCCCCTGGTCTCTCTGGGACCAAAAAATCAGGCACCAATCACACCATCTAGTTTGAGGCTTACTTCAGTCAAACGAGTCACTTAAGCCTCTGAGCAGCAAGGAATTTGAAAAAGGAAGGGAAACAGAGACTCTTCACAAAATCCAACTCTGTGGGTGCTCCCAGCTGAAAACTAACAGCTGTATTAGTGTGATTTACACACAGGGAATTTACCAAGGCCAGCCTGTATCATTACTAGAAACCCTAGTGCTAGGCATGTAGGGCTAGAAGGTTGGCCCTTTCATGCCTGGCTGTTTAATGCCACCTATTTTGAGCAGGCTTAGAAATTTTATTTCAGAACAAAGAATCATTAGGTCAAGAATGCAAGGCATATGCATATTTTAACTGGAATCACTTCTATCAGTTGCATGCTATTTTAGTTATTGCTAGAAATTAATTCTTTAACTGCATGTAGTTTACCTTCTGTCACATCAGAACTGGTGCACTCAAGCGTTTTGACAAACATTACTGGAAAGGGCTCTTGCTAACAAAGGTACAAAGAACCAAAGTTTCTCTTGAATTCTGTTATCACATTTGTATGGAAACGTGAAGCGTGATGGACTGCCAAGCAGCCATTCCATTTAGGAAAGCTGCAAAGCTGCTGGCCAGGGATATGAAAACCTTCTGGAGAGCTTTCAGACCTCTATGCTATCTCACATAGTGCAAGGATCACTTAATGTTGTTTCCTAAGAGATGCTGAAAACAAAACAGCTCCTGATCTTCCTAGGGTTTTGTTCATTTGTTGGCTAGAAATATCTTTATTGAAATTATGCCTTAAAACAGTGACTCAAGAGAAAAAAAGGAAATTAATTTTAATAAATCAACACCATATTTTATAGTCTCCAGAAGAAAGCAAAAAGGCCACCTGGGCAGGACTTCAACCTTCTATTTTCTTATTACTTTCTTTCTGAATTTATCACTACTATGCTAACAAAGTTAGTCATTTAATACCTGAGAAAGGAGCAAGTTCAAATTGCTGGCATGCGATTCACTAGCCAGTAGACAATAGCAACAGTGCCACCACAACAAAAAAAGAAAACTGGGTCTACCTACATGAGAAAGATGTGACCAAACACCAGTAGAAATGAAACAAAACCTTGGAGAAAAATTACAGACTCCTGGTCATCATGTTCTCTTGTGTTTTTTTTTAACACTGAATAATGTGAGGAGGTAGATAGGTACCTGAAGCAACAATTTAAAGAAAAGAAGAAAGGTTTTACTAATGAAATACAATACAGCAACACTAACACTGGGAAATACTAAAGTAATCCATAGACAATTTTCAATGTAAAATCAATAGTTTATTGCCATGCTACATTTTTTTTTTCCCAAATGAAGTTGGCACTGGTAAAGGGGAAAAAATGTTGTTATGATACATAATACATTTTTTTAAAATGCACATTTGGTAAGCTTTCTCAGTAATGACAGCTTAAAACAAGTGAAATTTTCATTTTTTTTAAGATTAGTGTGGAATGGCATAAAAATACACTAAAACTCTTTCTGCATAGTATAGTATCACTTTTTTTCCATAAAAGAACTACGGAATGTTTGTAAAAACAAATTCATTGAACAGGGAAAATTAATTGAAATTTCATAAACAATTTGGCAGCAGTACTCCCACTGTTTAGACTTTTTTATATAAAAGAAAGAAAAATCTAGAAAGCTACCTTTATACAAAGTTGCTATATTTATGCCTTTAAGTAGGAAAAAACATTTTATAATGCAAATTAGGACATACAATAATCTTACAATATCATACAATGTAATGACAAGAAAGGAACATACAACATAAGATTTTGGCCTTTGTAGAAATGTCTATTTCTGCATTTAATAAATGCATTTGTGGCACACTGGTGACTATTGTATTCTTACTGCTACCAGTCAGCTTCCACGCTAGAGCGGTATTCGGCTGTGCTGTAATGGCAGGTCCGCAGTTCAGTTAAAACACAGACTGGTTTTCAGGAGACGAAAGGTGATGCTGCAATGAAGCGAGATGTGAAAAAGGCAACGTGCCTGCTGGCTGGGACATCCGTATTG